GCGCGATGGCAAGGACAGCCACCACGCGCGGCAGCGGCCCGTGCTGATCTCGGGCTCGCTCGACAACACGCTCAAGGTGTGGGACGTGCGTACGGGACGGTGCCTGCGCACCCTCTTTGGGCACGTCGAGGGCGTGTGGTCGCTCGACGTCGACAAGCTGCGCATCGTGTCGGCGAGCCACGACCGCACCATCAAGATCTGGGACCGCGACAGCGGCTTCTGCCAGAACACGCTCGTGGGCCACAAGGGCGCCGTGACGTGCCTCAGCCTCGGCGACGACAAGATTGTCAGCGGCAGCGACGACGGCGACATCAAGGTGTGGAGCTTTGCCGCCGCCTGTCAGCAGGCGCAGTCGCCGGCGCAGTCGCAGCAGCCACCGCCGCCCTCGACGGCCTAGGCCGACGGTCGCTCGCGCCCCAAGAGACTCTCTGTTTTCTTCACCTCCAACCTGCGCCCCTGTCCATGCTCTCCTCTGATTTCCTATGGGCCGCAGCCATTCCATACCAGCGATTCCGCTCGCACCTTTTGCATCTCTTCTCTCTCCGACTGCCTCTCTCTCTCTCTCTGCGACTCGGGTGACCGCCTTGTGGCCCTCAGCCGTTTGGGTGACGCTCTTGTCCGCCCAGCCTGGGTCCGTCTCCTCCCCGTACCTCATCTGTACTTCTACCACCACATCCAGACCCGTCTCGTTTCGAATCCACAGCTGCGTTGGCGCCTGCACTCGACTGCCCGATCGTTGTGCAGGCTGTCAAATAAAGGAGATTGTGGCGCCAGTCAGTCAGCGGGCTGGGCGGCGCTTGCCTCCCTCCACCTGGCCTGACCCTGCTCGCTCGGCGTTGGCCGTCGCAGACGAGGCGGCCGCGGCAAATTAATTGCGAGAAAAAACCCGGGCAGCCAGCCGGACGTCAGCTTTCTTCTGGCTCGCTCAGCCGTCGTCGACTCGGCCACCACCACCTCCTTTGCTGCCACGACCGTCCATCCTCTCCTCGCAGGTCGATCGCAAACCCACACACCCAGCGGCACGGCTGCAAGGCGACACCAACACGTCAAACGAACCGGCAGCCCGCTCTCGCTGCACGCCGCCACGACCATGTCCGGCGCCACGCCGTCCTCGGCGGCGCAAAAGGAGCTCCAGTCGACGCTGCTGCGCAGCACCATCATCTGCGCCACCTCGATCCAGTCGCTCCGCGAGCCCGTGCAGCCCGACGTCATCGCCGCCGACGCCGCCCAGCTGCCACCGCCCGCCTCGCAGCTCTCGGCGCAGGTCATCAGCGACCTGGTCCAGATCTTTGCCCTGGTCCAGAAGCACTGCAACGCCCTCTCGCTCGCACTGCGTCCCTCTGCCGCCACCTCGTCGTCGTCGTCCTCGCCGTCGCCATCGCCGTCAGCGCAGGATGCACAGGGCTTCTCGCCCGTATCCGGCCTCGACGACAAATCGCTCGAGGCGGCCAAGGCGCAGATCGTCTCGCTCAGCTCGGACCTGATCCCCAAGATGGTCTTCATCGCCAAAAAGGCGTGGAAGGACCGCGAGGTCTTCCAGCTCGACGCACAGCTGGCCGCCGAGCACGACGAGGCGCAGCGGGAAGAGAGGCGCAAGCTCGAGCAGCTCGCCAAGCAGATGGGCGGGCAGGTCATGACATCCCAACAGCTCGGCCTCGACGGGCAGGCCCCTGCCAACGCGGCGCAGAGGAAGCTCGTCTCCCGCTCGCTCGGCAATGCGTTCGCCCGGGAGGTGAGGGCCGCCGTCGAGGACGTGCTGGGATGCATCGCCGAGCTGCTCCAGAGCTTCCTCGACGCCCGCACCCGCGCGGCGCTGCAGCACGCCTCCAACGCCAGGGACAAGGCCGACGGCCTCTCGGCGGGCCCGTCGTCGTCGGCGGCGGCCGCGCAGCACCAGCAGCAGGCTCGCAACATCCATGAGGCCAGGCGCAAGTCGCTCGAGCTCAACAACCTCGTCTGGGAGACGTGCGCCAAGTACATCGGCAAGCGGGCCGCCGATGGCAGCGCGACCACCGTCACCCACGTCAACCCCAACGGCAACAAGGTCAAGGTCCAGGTCAAGGGCCTCTCGCGCGACAACCTCGAGGCCTCGAAGCGCATCTGGCAGGAGCGCGTGGCAATCATGCGCGACGGCCTCGACGAGATGAAGGAGGCCGCCGCAGCAGACGACGACGACGACGGCGACGACGACGACGACGAGGAGGCCGCCCGGTCGCCTCGCCACCTCGGCGGTGATGCCGACGACCTCGACCTCGGCGAGGAGCTCTCGGCGCTGCCGACGCTGAGCGTAGGCGAGCGCGCACGGCTCAGCCAGCTGTCGAACCTCGTGCGGATCGGCAGCATGCTGCACGAGAACGTGCTCAAGGCCATCGTCGCCGCCCACGGCCGCGCCACGTCCGACCTGGACCTCGACGAGGTCGACGACCTGGGCAGGCAGCTCGAGGAGGCGCAGGACGAGCTCGTCGCTGCCGCGCTCTACGGCGAGGAGGATGCCGGTATCGAGGAGCTGGACCTCGGTGACGACGACGACGACGACGACGACGACGACGACGACGACGACGACGACGACGACGGCCAAGGGCACGCGGCCGTCGAGGAAGGCAGCATCGAAGCTGCGGTGCTGCGGACACTTCAGCAGTACGTCCGGGCCGCGGCGGCGCTCGTCTCGTACGTCAGCGGCAACGACGAGCCCGTCGAAAAGGTCGATGCTGTCGATGCCGGGTCCACGACTGGCGAGTTCGAGGGCATCTTTGAGGCGCGCTTCTCGCGGCTATCCAAGGTCCTCACCGAGGCCTCCTCCAATATCCAGGTCCGGCCCACACGGGAGTCGGCTAAGGAGACCGAGCAACAGCAATCGCCTCCTTCGAGCCAGACCAGCGCTCCCGCTCCCACTCCCGCTTCCGCTTCTGCTGATGCCGCGCAGGCCACGGTCTCTGCAGCTGCGCCAGCGGTCAGCGAGGCCCAGACTGTGGCCATGGCCGCGACGACGGCCGCTGTTGTCGCACCCGCTGCTGCCGCTGCCGCCGCCACTGCCGCTGCGTCGGACTCTGCACCGGTCGATGTTCCGTCCAAAGCCGACAGTGGCGTGATCGCCGCAGCGCGCAAGCCGAGCAACGCCGCCTTCCAGACGGCCGACTTTCTCAAGGAGCTCGACGGCATCGCTCAGCGCCTCGGCAACGGCACGCAGACCTACGACCGCGCAGTGGCCGCCGAGCTCGACCGGATAGACCCGCTGGCACCCATGCGGGACGGCTACGTGCTGCCCAAGAACCGCGACGTGTGCCAGCCGTCATCGCCGTCGCCGTCGGGGTCGTCTTCTTCGCCTGCCGCCCCGCCGACGGACACCGACGGCGAGAGCGCTCCGGATGCGCCGGCGCTGTACATGTGCGGCAACTCGCTCGGCCCGCTGCCCAAGCTGACCAAGCACTATCTCGACGAGGAGCTCGAGGCGTGGGGGCGCAAGGCTGTGCTGGGCCACTTTGACCACCCCTACGATCGCCCCTGGACGCAGCTCGAGGGGCGCGTCGCCGAGCTGTCGGCCGACGTCGTGGGCGCCAAGCGTGCCGAGGTGACGGTGATGGGCACGCTGACGGGCAACCTGCACACGATGCTCACCACCTTCTACCGGCCGGCGGTCAGGCCGTACGGCGTCGGCTACGCCGGATCGGCCGAGGAGGCGCGCGGCGAGGGCCGCAAGGTGCGCCACAAGATTGTCTACGAGCACAAGGCGTTCCCCTCGGACCGGTACGCGCTGGCGTCGGCGATTGAGCTCAACGGCTTCGACGTCGCCACGTCGCTCGTCCCGCTCAGGCCGCGGGGCGACAGCCGCACGTTCGACACGGCCGACATCCTCGCGACGATCGACGAGCTGGGCAGGGAGGGCGAGACGTGCCTGATCCTGCTGGGCGGCATCAACTTCTTCACGGGCCAGCTGTTCGAGTGCGAGAGGATCGCGGCCAAGGCGCGCGAGCACGGCATCCTCTTTGGTGTCGACCTGGCCCACGCGTTCGCCAACGTGCCGCTGCGGCTGCACGACTGGGGCGTCGATTTCGCCGTCTGGTGCACGTACAAGTACGGCAGCGCCGGGCCGGGCGGCATCGCGGGGCTGTTTGTGCACGAAAAGTGGCACCAGAGCGGCGCGACGAGCCGGGTGCTGACGCGGCAGGCCGGGTGGTGGGGCCACGACCGCTCGACGCGCTTCTCGATGCCCGAAGACTTTGCGCCCATCGAGGGCGCCGACGGGTGGCAGGTGTCGAACCCGTCGATGCTCGACATGGCGGCGCTGCGCGGGTCGCTCGAGACGCTGCTCACGGCGACGCAGCTGTCGGGCGTGGGCGGTGCGGGCGACGAGGACGCGGCCCGAGGCGAGATCGTGGGCGAGGGCAAGATCATGCCCGTGCTGCGCTCCAAGTCGCTGCGGCTCACGGCGTACCTCGAGAGCCTGCTGCTGCGGCCGGGCTTCCTGCCAGAGGGGCTCGGGATCGAGATTGTGACGCCGCGGGATCCGCAGCAGCGCGGATCTCAGCTGTGCATCCGCATCCCGGACCAGCGCGAGCCCGCGGCCGCGGCCGCAGCCGCGCCCGCAGCGAGTGGCGCCGAGGGCGGCAAGGGCGGTGTGCCGCCGCCGATCCAGTCGACGCGGCTGATTGCGCAGGCGCACCTGCGCGCCGAAAAGCAGCGGGGCCTGGTGACGGATATCCGCCACCCGGACATGCTGCGCATCGCGCCGCTGGCGCAGTTTTCGAGCTACGTCGAGGTCTGGCGCACGGCCGAGGCGCTGCGGCTGAGCATCCTCGAGGAGATGGCGTGCGAGAAGCAGCAGCAGTGAGGCGGGCGGTACTCTATCTCATAATCTAATCTCGACTCGATCTTGTGGCGGACCTGCCTTTCTGGTGGCCTGCTTGGGTGGCGACGCTGGAGTGGCCCGATGCCGGGTGCCAGCGTGCCCAGGCCGACGTGATGATTGCGTGCTCGCGTCGGGAGCGGCTCAGCGCAGCGGCGTCGAGGCCCGGCGCGCGAGCAGCCAAGCCGAGGCTAGGGTCCGCGGGCCGCGCTGGCCGTTCTGCACGGACCGCAGGCGCCACGCTCGAGTCAGGTGGGGCTGCCTTCCGAGCTTCCAGCGCTGCCCCGTCCCGCCCCACCGACCAAGCTAGCTCGATCCCGGGCTGGCTTCCTTGCCACCACCACCACCACCTTCCATTGCCTTGGCCCCTTGCCCAACCGTCTCGACCTTGTCCTGTACCTACGCAACCGGGCACTCTGCCGTCCCGCCCTCTTGAACACGCCGCCGTCGTCGCAACAGAGATTACTACCCAGCAGCTCCAAGACCCTCTCTCTCTCGTGTGGTCTGGATGACTCGCCTTTGGCCGCGAACCAGCCCGCTCTCGCTCTCCTCCTCGTCTCCGTGGTGCACCTCTTCGACTCGCTCCTGTCCTACGCCTCGTCGCCTCTACCCGCTTGCCCACGCCGCGCGCACCATGGCCTCGCAATCTCCGCCAGCAGCAGCGGCGGCGACTCGATTCCGCACCGAGCGCTCGGAGCGTATCCGGTTCGAGCTGGAAAAGGGCGCCGACGTATGGTCAATGTTCAACCCGGTCGTCTTCCCGACGGCCATCAACCTCGGGCAGGGCTTCATGAACTGGGCGCCCCCCTCGTTTATCCTCGAACCCACCAACGCCGAGTCGGCCAAGCGCGTCGACCTCCACCACTACTCGCATCCAAAGGGCCGCCCGCGCCTGCGCAACGCCATCGCCGACTTCTACAGCCCCGAGTTTCGCGCTCCCGCCGCCGGGAACGAGGACCGATGGTCACCCTCCGCCGACGGTCTGCCCAGGCTCAGGCAGGGCGAGGCGAGGAGGCTCGATGTCGAGACCGAGATCCAGGTGACGTCCGGCGCCAACGGAGGCATCTACAGCGCCATGGGCGCCTTCCTCAACCACGGCGACGAGGTCCTCATCATGGAAGTGAGCAGAGCAGGCGCCGAGCTGGGCTGGGATGAGCTTGCATCGGCCACGTTGCCGGCGCGCTGACGTCTCCGCCAACCCTTTTCTCTGCGCCGCCGCCGCCGCCCCGACAGCCCTTCTTTGACCAGTACGAGGCCGAAGTGCGCTTCCACAACGCCACGCCCGTCTACATCCCCATGCTGCCGCCCAAGGACGGCGCCGTGTCGGGCGTGGCCGAGGCCGACGAGTGGAAGTTTGACTTTGACCTCATCGAGCGGAAGCTGCAGAGCGGCAAGGTCAAGGCGCTGCTGCTCAACACGCCGCAGTGAGTCGACGTCGCAGCCTCTCTCTCACTGTGGCGACAACACGAGGCCAGGCGGACCTTGCTGACGCTGACGCTGACGCTGCTGCTGCTGCTGCCGCTTGCTCGTGCCCGCTTTCGCTCCGTCGCTCGGCAGCAACCCGATTGGCAAGGTGGCTTCCGAGGCCGAGCTCGGCCGGCTAGCGGCGCTGTGCATCAAGCACGACCTGCTCGTCGTCTCGGACGAGGTCTATGACTGCCTCACCTTTGACTCCAAGGTGCGTCGCCGATGTGGCCCACCGCCGGCAGCGTCGTTCGTCGTCGTCGTCACCCCGACTGACCCGGCTCGCTCCCCACAACGCTCGACACCGCCTCGCAGTCGCACCTTCGCATCGCCGCCTTTGAGGGCATGTGGGAGCGCACCATCACCGTCGGATCGGCAGGGTGAGTGCCTGCCTGCCCCGGCCGTCCGTCTGCCTCCCCTTTGCATTCTCGCACTCGACACGCCTGACCCGCCCGACTTGCCCGCATCATGTCGCCGTCCGCCTCGCCTCGCCTCACCTCGCCTCTCCTCTCCTCTGCGCGGCGCAGCAAGTCGTTCGCATGCACCGGCTGGCGCGTCGGCTGGCTGATCGGCCCGGACCACCTCATCGGCCCCGCGCGCGCCGTGCACACGCGCATCACGTTTGCCGTCAACTCGACGGCGCAGGAGGGCGCGGCCATCGGGCTCGAGCTGGCGCCGTCGCACCGCTTTTTTGAGACGCAGCGGGCCGACTACGAGGTGCGCCGCGCCGCGCTGCGCCGGGCGCTCGACCCGCTCGGCCTGCCGTACACCAACCCGCACGGCAGCTACTTTATCCTGGTCGACGTATCGCGTCTCGACATCCCCCCGGCCTTCCTCGAGGGCGAGGGCGAGGGCGAAGAGGCGGTGCCCGAGTCGGTGCTCAAGAAGCCCAGGGACTACCTCAAGGCGTGGTTCATCGCCAAGACGTGCGACGTCGTCGCCATCCCCGCCACGGCTTTTTACAGCGACGAGCACGCCCGCTTTGGCGACCGCTTCGTGCGCTTCTCGTTTTGCAAAGACGGACAGATTGAAGAGGCCGCACAGAGGCTGCTCAAGGTGAGCCCGTGGCGCGGCGTCCGACGCGTGCCAGCGGTGCGCGACTTGTCCGCTTACCTCGTTCATGGTTCATCGCTCCTTCTTCTGCGCCCCCGCTCGCGCGCGGGCTGCGTGTCCGACAGCTGAAGCAGTACATCCGAGCATAGATGAGACGGAGCGACAAAACCTAGACGATCCCCCACGCACGCCGAGCAGCGCACAGCCACGCCGATTCGAGATGCCGCTGTATCCGCGTGACATTGCCGCACCGCCCCGCCCCGCACCGGCCCGACATCGGCATCGGAAGCGAGGCCTCGACTCAGTCCTGCATCATGGGATACGCCGTCCCCGCCTGCTGAGGCGGGCCGGCGATGGCATCTCGGATCTTCTGCCGCAGCCGCTCCTCGAGGTCGTGCACGTCGGCCATGCGCACGTCGCCATCTTGGTGCGCCGGTCCGGCGGCGGCGGCCGATGATGGCGGCTTGGAGATGTCGACGCCGTGCGCCTTGGCGAGGGCGAGGCGGGCGCGGTTGCGTCGTCCCAGCAGCGCGCGGTGCCTTTCGAGGAGCGTCGAAATGTGCTCCAGCGCTGCGACGCCGTCGACCAGGCAGGAAGAGGAGGAGGAAGAGGAACCGAGGGTGGCCGCGTAAGTAGGCGGGCAATCGGGCGGGCGGATGGATGCCAGCACAGAGGAGGAGGCGACGGGCGTGGCAACTCACACTTCATCAAGACGACGGCTTCGCTCCGCGGGCCCGCCCTGCCGTCGATCTTTTCGCCGTCAATCTCGCACCCACCCCCGGCCTCCGCGTCCTTCTTCTTCGTCCCTGCTCCTCCTGCTCCACCGCCGCCGCCACCGCCGCCGGCCTTTTTTTTCTTCTTCTTCTTGCTGGCGCCCGCCGATTTCTTCTTTCTCCCTCCGCCTCCAGCGCCGCCGCCTTCGGCATCCTCGTCGCCCTCACCCTCGCCGCCATCGTCGTCGTCGTCGTCATCGTCGTCGTCGTCTCCCTCGTCGCCATCGCCGCCGCCGCCATCGCCGTCCTTGCCCTTTCTCGCCTCCCTCTCGAGCGCCTCCTTGAGCGGCGGCACAATGTCGCACAGCAGCTCGTAGCCCTTGCGGATGTTGGCGCGCCGCTTCTGCTCCGAGGCGATGTGGTTGGCCTTCTTCTCGGCCTCGGTCAGGAGCACGTGGCCGGCGCCGCCCGACTTTTTGGCCTCCTTTTCCTTTTCCTGCTGCTCGGCGCGCAGGCGCTCCTCCTTGCCAATCTCCTTGCCCGCCTCGTCGACCAGGCCCGCCTCCTGGTGCTGCCGCCGCAGCAGCTCGAGGTGCGGCTGGCGTCGCTTCTCGTCGGCGCGCGCGGCAAAGTAGGCCGTCAAGGTGGCGGGCAGCCGCTGCGTGGCCAGGCCGAGGTCGAGGTCGAGCGACGACAGCTCGGCCAGCGCCTTGGACACGGCCACGCTCCGGTCCGTCGGCTTCTGCGCCGACGACGACGAGGGCGAGCGCGAGTTGGATGAGCGCTTGGTCGACGTGCTCGCCGTCCAGGGGCGGCCGGACGCTCGGGCTGCGGCCGCGGTCGCCCTTGGCGTCGCCCGTCGTCCGCGTCGGCGTCGCCGAGTTGGGTCGG